CCCCTTGCCCGGTTCCTGTCTCCCAGCCTAGCCTACCTCACAGTGCTGTTGTGGAGATTATGAAGTGTCGGGAAGAATCAGCCCGCAAAACTGCCTGCACCCCTCAGTGGGCAGAATTCCATAGCAGCAGAAGAAGAGGAGGAGAGATTGGATTTCTACCCCACCCTTCACTACCCAAAGGGGTCTCAGAGCGTCTTACAAACTCCTTTCCCTTCCCCTCCCCACAACAGAAACCCCCTGTGAGGTAGGTGGGGCTGCGAGAGCTCTGACAGAAACTGCTCCTGAGAGAACAGCTCTGAGAGAACTTGTGACTCACCCGAGGTCACACCAGCAGCTGCATGTGGAGGAGTGGGGAATCAAACCCGGTTTTCCCAGATTAGAGTCCGCGCACTTCACCACTACACCAACCTGGCTCTCATAAAATTAGTGGGTGGGGGGATTTTTGCTGCCATTTCCTCTCTCACCCCGTTCCCAATTTCCCCCTCTCACCCCTCTCCGAAGGTTGACCTGGACCCTTTTTGGAGGCAAAGTCTCCTCTTTGGAGGCAAAGTGGTTACTGGCCAGGGTGACTGAGGGGAACCTCCACATTCAGAGGAGGCCAGGAGGCAACATCAGGGGAAGGCCTTGGCCTCCCTGCCCTGTTGCTGGCCCTCCAGAGGGACTGGCTGGCCCCTGTGTGAGACGGGAGGCTGGACTAGAGGGACCCTCCCTGGTCTGACCCAGCAGGGCTCTTCTGGTGTCCTTCTTGCCCTGTTGTTGGCCCTCCAGAGGGACTGGCTGGCCCCTGTGTGAGACAGGAGGCTGGACTAGAGGGACCCTCCCTGGTCTCACCCAGCAGGGCTCTTCAGATGCTCTTATCAGGGGAAGGCCTCGGCCTCCCTGCCCTGTTTTTGGCCCTCCAGAGGGACTGGCTGGCCCCTGTGTGAGACGGGAGGCTGGACTAGAGGGACCCTCCCTGGTCTGACCCAGCAGGGCTCTTCTGGTGTTTTTATAAAATACGGTGCTGGGACAGAAATGTCTCTTTCTGAGTGCAGAGTCCCAAATGTCTCTTTCTGAGTGCAGAAATACCCGTGAGATATCCCCTCTCCCCATCTAGAGGTTGTTCAGCCTAGTTGCCGTCAGTGCGAAGAAGCCTGTGGGGTGTCGCACCCGGGTCTTCTGCCGCAGGTGGGGAGGGGGGGCTCTCTCTGTTGCGCCTCTGCTGCTGACCCCCCCCCCCCGCCCCTCTGCCGGCAGGTGGCTGCACACGGAGACGATGTTCGCGGTGGCCCAGCGCCAGTGGCTGTACGTGTACGACAACCAAGGCGTGGAGCTGAACTGCCTGAAGCGCTTCCACCGGGTCCAGCGGATGGAGTTCCTGCCCTACCCCTTCCTGCTGGCCACGGCGGTGAGGACTGGGGGGGGGAGGCGGGGGGGCGAAGCTTCGTTCCAGAGTCTGGTGCTGTTAGAAAAACTTGTGCAGCCCATCAGGTCTCCAGCGCGGTGTTCCCTCTTAGCTGAGTGAGTGTGGGCCAGCTCACAGCTTTTTAGCCCCCAGCTCACACATTTTTGTCTTGGCTCAGGAAGGAGGGCTCCAGAGCAAACTAATCGATGCAGCAGCCCAATCGCTCGCTCACAACTTTCATGCCAGTGGCTCACAAATTAGAATTTCTACTCAAGACTCCACAGCTTAGAAGAAGAAGAGAAGAGATTGGGTGTAGACCCCTTGCCCTTCACTCGGAGTCCCAGAGCGGCTTACAGTCTCCCTTCCCTTCCCCTCCCCACCACAGACACCCTGGGAGGCAGGTGGGGCTGAGAGAGCTC